TTTAGAGGAAGTATTGTTTCCAAGCATTTCTGCTTCCAGAATCAGCCACTTGAAATCTAAGGGGCACTATACAATATTGCAAACCTAGGACGGCTGCTTACTAAAGCATGTTTGGCAAATCATGATTTTGTAATTCAGTAAAACAAGCTCAGCATTCACAAACTATTGTGGGTGGTGGGGACAACTTGGGAAGTCCCCCCCACACACACAAAATTGGGGAACATGCTTATTTTGCAGCTACATACAGCTTTGGTACATGCAAACCAGAACTGTGATTTAGCGGTCAGTTGACATGTCCCAGAGCTGTATGCACATGCAAAAGCTGCATATTGCCCTATTCGGACATCGATATTAAGAGGCCCTACATGCGGCCCACCCTTTTTGATGTAATGTCTGAAAAGGGCTGTGTACTTGCACTTTTGATTCTTTTGCCAGGCTACTCAACACTGCGGTTAAAAAGGGGGGTGATGACGCTGTAGTTAAGTAACCTCAGATTCAAAATACTAGGGAAGACGGACTTCTGTTTGCAAGAGTAGCAGAATATGCTTCACACTGAACTGAGTCCAGTAATGCATCCTCCAAAACCGCAGCACTTAAAGGAGCAGCAGATTCTATGCTTGCATGCATAGAACATTTCACTCTGCACATACGGCACTCTGAATGGGTCAGTAGATGTGGACAGTGCAGTAAGAATCTAACTTTTCCCAGAACCCTTGGCTTCAGGTGGAGGACATCACTGGTCAGAGGAATACAATTACCCTGGAAACAGACCACACAAGGGGAAGATGACCGCCACTGTAGATGTAGTCATTTATTGCATATGCCAGTACACAAAATAGAAGTTGAATTTTGCAAAGGGAAAGTCAACATACTGTAAAAAAAAACCCCAACATAATGAAAATGTCTGCCTAGTGCTTCTTTTGTTTGCGCATAACATTAAATGCTCAGGTCTAAAAACACACAAAATGACAAGACGTAGTTTGTGAATTTTTTAATCTTCTGGGGGGGGGAAATCTATGTATATCCCCCGTAACATTTGAGAACAGCCTGATCCTAAGCATGCTCACTCAAAGTCTCAGAGTCAATACCACTTGCTTCCTGGTAAGCAACTTTAGGATTGCAGCATTTTATTTGGATCTTAAGCATTCCTTATGTGTAAACAGAACATTCATTACACCTCTGCATGTTTCTGTTGTAATTTGTAACAAAAATTTTCTACATTATTTGAACCAGAATCTACCAGTTTTATTCCATTCTATGCAGAAGGCATCAATTTCCATTTCGGCAAGAATTCGGTCTTGGCAAGAATACTCCTAGAGTTTGAAAGTTGGGTAATTAAAAAAAAATCCCAATAGAGGCTAACTGAATCCCATTACAGTTTAGGAGTCTGAATTCTGTAGATGTGACAGGCTGAAAAATAAACTGGCACCAACATAAATCACCTCATTCCGACACAGTTATTTGAATGGCAAGGTCCCATTAGTTTCAACAAGTTGGTTTCCTAGTAATTGGCAATTAAGAATGCAGCCTGCAGGGGGCGCAAAGTCCAGTGGAATCATGTTATTTATAAAATGTAAAATACATGTCAACATGTCTGCCATTAGAACTGGGCTCCGCAAACTTGTGCCATATTACTTCAAGCATTGCGCTAGGGCTGGCCTCGTGTTTATTTTGGTGGGAGAACTAACAATTGAAATGGAAGGGTTATTAATACTTTTGGCAACAGACTAGTTGAGGTACAAGCCTTCCGGCAAAGATCCTGTCTGAATGCCATGCAAAAATCATCCCGCTCTAAGCCTACATCCACCACCTGTTGCTAGGAAGGCGTTTCAGCAGCTCCTTCAGGTTGATGTGATCCCTGCAGGAGTCGTTGCAGGACATGCAAAACTAGATCACACACAAGAGGAGACCTTTCTGGAAAACACTGTGCATTTCAGGTGCAAAAGACTACCCGACTACTCAAGCATGATGAAAAGATTGAACTGCCAAAGTCTGCCTAAATCCTGCCAACATATTCCAAGAGTACATAACGGGGGGGGTAAAAAAAATAAGAAGGAAGAAAGGGGGGGGGGGGGGGGGGATCAAGGGGGGCAGGTGGCATTTTCCAATGAACTAGCTTTCTTCTGAAATAATAACCACAACCAGTGTTCCCTCTAAGCTGAGTTAGTGTGAGTTAGCTCACAATTTTTTAGCCTCCGGCTCACATTTTTGTCTTGGCTCAGGAAAGATGTCTCCAGAGCTCGCTCACAACTTTAATGCCAGTAGCTCACAAAGTAGAATTTTTGCTCACAAGACTCCACAGCTTAGAGGGAACATTGACCACAACTACCTCAAGATGTTCTACCTGGGGTTCCATCAGGGCAGCCCTCCCACTGGCCCTTCCCTTCCCCCAGTGCCTTAAGAGACTGGATTAGGGAAACAGCCTCATGTACTCTTGGGTGGGCCTGCGGGTGCAGCTCGTGAGCAATACCATGCCCCCTCGTAATAGACGGTTCCAAGAGCCATGCTGTCCCATGTCTGTCACTACCAGCCACCTGGACTTCTCCCCACCTGCTCTGGTTACAGTTCATGCCCTGGAAATGCAAGTGCTGCACCCACAAGTCACAGTCTTCACCCGCAAGTCTTCCCCCAAAAAAGGTCCTAGTAAGTACAGGGGAGGGGATCCCAACTTCAGATAGGATGTTTCCACCTCCTCTGAAATAGCCGCACGAGCCGATCTTTCCTTTTCTTCTCCCCAACCAAGACGTGAACAGCACCATTTTGGGAAGAAGAGTTTTTGAAGCAAGTAATTTCAAAATGTGTGTGTGTGTGGGGGGGGGTAGAAATGGCTTCTAAAAGAACATTCTAAAAGGTTCTATAAGTAGAACAGCAATTTTTTTCTCTAGAGGGAAAACCCCCATTCCAGTTTTGTACTGTGCTTGGTGTTTACAAACTAGAAAAGCGTGATATAACTTTCCTAGAGGAGATGACAAGAGCAGGAAGATGGAAGTCCCACGTCACTCTTACCCCCTTATATTCATCACCATTCTGTTTGTCACATTTGTAACTCGGTCCTTCAAAGCGTGTCCTTCCGAGTTTGACCAACTTCCTCGTTAGTCGGTACACTTTCAGATTCCAGCCTTTGGTAATATCTGTGGTCCCGTTATGTTCCAAGGCTGGCAGCACAGCAAGGATAATTAAGCAAAAAGTTATCTTCGCACAAATCATGGAGGAAGCACAAAACGCTCATGGACTATCCCAGCAACTCCCTTTAAAAAATAAAAAGTTTGCATGGGGGGGAAAAACAGGGATATCTGGAATAACACAAGATTCAAAAGTGTATGTTGCCCATTCGTCTCTAAGAAGGTAATGATGAAAGCTGTCTCCTGCCCTTTCTGTACCGCGACAGCCTTTTACTGGGGCTGATCCATGCCAGGACCTCGGGTAGGAGGGCCATGAAAAGCACAAACTGACAATTCTGAGAACAGGAGTTCCTCCAGGCAGGCGGCCAGCAAACCCAGCACCCCCCAGCACGACTCTCTGCAACAGGGTGGCAATACCAGGTACAAGAACAACACCCTCCACCTCCTCATCCGTCCACATTAAAATGCTACATACGTAGCTATGCAGTACTGAAAAGCTGGATGCCCATGTGAAATCATGGAGGTAAGTTGAGCGGGGGTGGTGGTGGAATGATCAGTTAGAAAAAGCCCCCCACGCACATACCACCTTTGCAGATCACCAAGGTCTGGGGCTAGATAAATAGCTGGTTGCTCATTTTCTTCTGAACCGAGGCAATGTGGTAGTATTGATGCAGAGTCCAAACTGTCAAGCAGGAACCCACACGAGATTTGGCAAGGGAACATCAATGGGAGTTTGGCGATAGAGGGGAGGAATTGGAACTGGGAATCTGTGTGAATTTGGAGGTGGATGGGAGGAACTGGAACTGGGCATTCAGGCCCCAAGCCTAACTTTGCTCCCCATTCAATGATACTTTCAACTTTGGGGGTTCTTGAAGTTTAAGGATTGGTGTGCATAGGCACATGCAATTAATTTAGGATCTGCAGATGTGCTTTTCCACTCCCTGACGAACATCTTCTATTGAACACTTGTCATTCAGGGATCTTTTAGCTTTAAAGTGATCAGAGCCCCCCCAAACCTTCACAGATTCTGGACTGATGGGAATTAGAACCCCCCCCCCCATCATAATAGGCCCTTCCAACTTACTATAGGGAGTGTGACTTCATTCTTTTTCTCATAACCAAACCTCAATTATCCTCAAAATAGCACAGCACCTGGAGGACGATGAATTACAATGAATGCTTTGTTGGGCTTCTCTCCAGCTTCCGTCCTTTTAAACTCAAACACATGAGCTTCACCATGCCTCACAAGCTCCCCAAGTATGTAGCAACCCCTAGCTTGCCTGTGCAAATTTTCCCATTTCTCTCCCCTACAAACAGGTACGGGACCAAGCAAGCCAGCAGCTCAGGTTGGGGTGGGAAGGAGAGCGACTGGGAATCCACCCTACCTTGACACTATAAATGCTTAAGGACTTAAGCAGGCCAATTTCCCACAACTCCCTGCCCTCTCCCTCACTCACTCTCAAAAATGCAAAGGCAGTGGCACATTCAGTCATAAAACAGGCCGGGGGTGGGTGGGGAGAATGCCCTTTTGTCTATAAAGTAGCACTTGATTGGCTCCCCCACCACCAGGTATATAGAAGCTTCTCCCTTACACCTGCCCCATCTCACTTGCCTTCATGAGAAGCACTCAGCCATCAAATTTGCTTCTAGAAGGAATGATGGCGATGATGAAGAATAGATCCGCTGGTGCTATTTACAGTGTTAAGCCCCACTGCACAGCCTCAAGTCATGCATCACGCAGGAATTGCAGGGCTCTGCCATGCGCACCCGAGCACTAGCTGCACCATGTGTTTTGCTAACCCTTCACGGGGCCAAAGCAAATACTGTGCCCCAACCGCTTTGTTGTCCCCTTAAAACCCGACATAACATAAAGCTAAGCAACACATTTATTAATGTGCCTGGGTCTAAGAAACGGGAGATTCGCTCGACCAAAAAGCAGACTGCGCTCATTCACTTGCGGCTGAGTGTAAAAACTACCTGGGTCGCACGGTATTAGACCTCTCCGTGTTTAATTTCACTCTCGAGATAGGTACAGACATAATACACATTGAAAAATGGACATCCTTCACCACTTTTTTTTGCACAAAATCCAGGTACAGTGCAGTTTTCTCTCGGGGGGGGGGGAAACGAGACTGGAATCATAGTTATATTATCGTTACATTAGACGACATTTTCGTCATTTCTTCGGGAGAGTGACTCTTCATCACTTCCTTGATAAACTGTTCGAGCGCCGTGAAATAGCCCTGGCACTGCCAAGTGTCATTGTGAGTGCCGTCCGGGAATATTGCCAATCTTTTAGTCCGGGCGGGGGAAAGTTCATAAAGCTGCTTCATCATGACGGGCGGGATCAGCTGGTCGGAGAGCCCGGAGATGAAAAGGGAAGGCATTCTGCACTGGGAGATCTTCCGGTAGGACAGGAACTTGTTTTTATAGCACCACAGGGGGAGGTACCTCATGGGGAAGAAAGAAAAGAGAGTGCTGGCCATGTGCGGGATGCTGAGGAACGTGTTCTCCACCATGATGGCGGAAATCCGGTGAGAGTTCTCGGACGCCAAGCGGACGGCGACCGCTCCCCCCAAGGAACGCCCAAAGAGGAAGATCTTGGTCTTATCGAGGTCAGACCGAGTCATGACGTACTCCAGCACGGCCTCGGAATCTAAATAGATGCCTTCCTCGCTCGCTTCCCCTTCGCTCTTGCCGTAGCCCCGATAGTCGACCAGCAGCAAGTTTATTTTGAGGTTCACCAGCATCAGCAACGCGTTGGGCAGTCTGTGGCCGATGTTCCCGGCGTTCCCGTGAAAGTAAATGACGGTTGGCGAGAAGGTGGGATTGTCCCCCGTGAACCGGAGGAGGATGAGATTGAGCAGCACGCCGTCTTTGGTTCGGATGAAGATGTTCTCGTGCGGGATGCCGGTCGGCATGGGGACGTAAAGCCGCGACGAGGAAGGCTGCTCGGGGAAGTAAAGCAGCACATCCTGGAACTTGTACAGTATACCTGCTATGGACAGAAATATTAATAGAGGTAATATCATGCCTCCATATAAGTGAAACGTTACTATCAGAGGCAGGAGAGAAATACGGCAGAGACCCCAGGACCACGACACCAGGGCTAGCAGCCACTTCTCAACGAAAGTCCAAAGCATCCATGATCTTTCCATCATAGTAGCCAACTAATCTTCAGTCCATATGAATCCTGAAAAGGGAAGAGACAGTTGAGTTAATCTCAGAAAATAGTGACTCTTTAATTTGCACAGCAAAATGGATAATGGTTCTGTGGCGTCCTTGCTTATAGGGGAGACGGTTTTACCTTTAAACCAACCTCTGTGTATATAAACACAGTTCTGCTGCCACCAGGAATTAAAAATTCCAAATCTCTCTCTTTTGGTAGAATGACCTAGGGTCTGGGCATTTCAGAGGACTATGTGGCCCTGAGGAAGGACTAGTCTGATTTTTGTGATAAATTTAAACAAAAAATTGATTTATTTAATAAAGAACAAAACAGGTTTCTGGTTAATTTGAACTGTTGCTGATGAAAGGAACTTGTAAATATAACTGGCAAAGCTTGGTGTCACAAACACTCTCTCAAATTCCCAAAACTCGACTGACAGGCGTAGAAACTCAGCCTAATCTCTCTCTCTCATATGTATAGCCACACAGGCTGAACTCTTTATTCACACAGAATAGACTCAAAAACTCCCATAGTCACACAGACTATGATCTCTTCAAACTTCACACTCAGAATCACTCTCATAGACACCTCTCCTCCCACTCTCTCAGTCATCAGCCAATCACATCACACTTCTCTCCCTCTATCACTCTTCTTACAGTACTGCAGTCAAACTAAACATTTAAAGAAACACACACACCAAAACATGAAATCATCACAGGTTCTATCTGTGGACCTCTGAGCACAATCCAAGAGCACTTATTCATTTTTAAATTCCTTGGGTTATATCGGTATGAATTAACATGCGACCGACAGCCCAAGGAAAATAAACTGACCCACAGTTAAAAGTAGTCTTTTTTCTCTTCAAAGTTGTTCAAATTTCATAAATGGAACCAAGGACAGGGGTGGCGGGGCCCCGGGGGGGAGATTCAACCCTTCTCCCTCCTTACCTCTCAAGCTCCACCGCGCATGAACAGCCAATGTGTGTACAGTCAGGGTCAATTTCTAACACCAGGCAAAACATAATTTAAAATAATCAATTTGCTAAATGATGCTGCAGAGTGAGCTGCACCATCTGCCCACAAATGTACTTAGGAAAGAAATACCCAGGGTTCCCCCCCCCCCATAAAAACAGTAAAGATGGGCAGACCTCACTTTCTGAACCAGGGAAAGTGAACCTGGATGGGAGATTCACCAAAAGGGCACCCGCGTGACGATGTTGCCAAGGTTCAACTAAATTCAAACACACACATTCGCCTGGCATCAAACTGGCACTATCTCCAGGAATGCAACGTGCAGAAAATGCAAGTGACCTGTGAGTAGCTTATCTAAAAACTAGTAAAGACAGAGAATTCCCTTTGCATTCTGGGGGGCTCTGAGTGTCCCTTTCTCAAGCTTTTCATTCTGGGGGGGCTCTGAGTGTCCCTTTCTCAAGCTTGTCATTCCAACTGCAAAATGATTTCTCCCACCCCACCATTCATTTTACGAGTAACACAAATACATTCCATACACAAAACGAAATGCAAATGCTGCATGGAAAGTCATCCCTCTTAGCATTGCTTCCATGTGTTAACATCACCATCCAGTGGCAAAACGGCCAACTACAAGTAATATAGAGGAGGAGGAGGAAGAAGAGATTGGATTTATACCCCACCCTTCACTCGGAGTCTCAGAGCGGCTTACAAACTCCTTTCCCTCCCCCTCCCCACAAAAGACACCCTGTGAGGTAGGTGGGGCTGAGAGAGCTCTTTCTAGAACTGCTCTTTCAAGAACAGCTCTTGTCAGAACTATGGCTTGCCCAATGTCATCCAGCAGCTGCAAGTGGAGGAGTGGGGAATCAAACTCGGTCCTCCCAGATTAGAGTCCGCACACTTAACCACTACACCAAACTGGCTACCCAACCGGAAAGGGGGCTAAACTTTTGTGCCACTTAAAGAGTTTCCAGAGACACATACATTATTACGCTAGCGGATGAAGACTGCCACAAATGTTACAAGCAGATAATACCCTAGAGAAATAATGCAGGCAGAAACATGCCCAGAAAGCGAAGAGTTAGAGACACCTGGTCATCCAGGAACCTGGAAAAGTAATCCTGGCTTGTGAGACTGAGAGACTGCTGCCCATGGGGTCGCGAACAGTCGGACTCGACTGTGCGACTGAACAACAACAAAAAGAACAGTATGAAGCAATAGATCGGATTCTCAATTTCAAACAGAGGACTGGCTCCTACATAAGACTACTTTGGACAGAGGGGGAGCCATAGTCACACATTCCACCCTCATCCTGTCTCTG